TGTGTGTGTGTGTGTGTGTGTGTGTTGAGCAGGCAGGCTTTAGAGCAGGGCGAAGCAAAACAGAACAGATCTTCAACCTCCGGATATTGTGCGTGAGGTACCTCCAACACCAACAAAACCCATACCATATCTTCGTGGATTTTAAAAATGCCTTCGACAAGGTCTGGCATGAGAAAATGCCAACCTGATCAACGTCATACAACTATATGACAAGGCCTCCAGCGCAGTCTACCTTAACGGCAGCATGGGGGATTGGTTCAGGACAACGGTCGGGGTGAGGCACGGCTGTCTGCTCTCTCCCACTCTCTTCAACATCTTCCTAGAACGAATCATGACTGACACTCTGGAAGACCACAATGGAACAATCAGTATTGGAGGCAGGACAATCACTAACTTGCATTTTGCCGATGACGTCGATGGATTAGCAGGAGAAGAACAGGAGCTCGCCACACTAGTGGAGCGGCTGGACACAACCTTAGCAGCCTACGGCATGGAGATCAGTGCCAAGAAAACCAAGCTAATGACCAATAACACCAATGACATCAAAGCGGACATCAAAGTCAGGGGCGAGAAACTTGAGACCGTCAACAGCTTCAAATACCTTGGATCAATCGTCGCAGATGAAGGTTAAAGACCAGAAATTTTCTCAAGAATCGCGCAAACAACACATGTGCTGTCAAAACTGAAGCCTATTGGGAGGGACAGAAACATCACGCACAACAAAAAAATCAGACTAATGCGCTCACTGGTCAATCTCAATATTTTTATACGCCTGCGAGTCGTGGACACTAACAGCAGAATTAGAGAAAAAGATTCAGACAACAGAGATGAGATGTTACCGCAGACTCATTGACATCTCGTACAAAGACCATCTTAGGAAAGCAGAGGACAAAAATAGATGGCGAGAGCTGGTTTTCAGATGCATTGGTGCCCCCACGGTTGCCACAACCACGGGATAGAAGAAGAAGAAGTGTGTGTTGTGTTGGAGGGGGGGGGTTGCTTTTTTGCAGTTATTTCTTTGGTCAATTGTTTGTGTGTGGGTGGGTATGGAGGGGGGGGGGATCTTCAACAAAGACTTTTACGCGTGTTAGTCTATAGCCTGTGTTAATTTTTTAAATTTTTTTTTGGTATTCTTTTGTTGTTGTTTTTTTCGTTTTGTTTGTCTTTCCGTTTGTTTTGTTTAATTTTAGACAAGATATATTATGTTACACGGCAAAGCAAGGAACGACTGTTTAAAACTTTTCAAAAGCGTAAAGAAACCTAATAACGGCAACAT